GATAGATAGATAGATAGATAGATAGATAGATAGATAGATAGATAGATGTTTTAGCGTTTTCCAATGGATCACCTTACATGTCTGTCCCGTTCCAAATTATTCCAGTGTTTAAAAATTCTCTTGCAATTTTCCTCCAGACAGCATCCTGATTTACAAAGCGATTCATAAGTTTACAAACTTGGCTTAGGCGACTGAGAGACTTGACATCCAAGAAAGATAAGATATGATAAAGGATATCCTCGGGCAGCTGAGAAAAAAGCATGGTGACAGTGCAGCTGCCTTTTTCTTCCTTTCCTTTTCTTCCAGGGTGGAATGTTGATGTTTCGCACGCTGCGGCTGTACGGGAAACCAATTGGTAGATAGACTTAACATATTTCAGAGAGCAGGAACCATGGCAAAACAGGAAGTGATTCGGTGAAAACTGATGACGATCGAAAATACGTGCCACAACGTCATGACGTAGGAAACGTGGTCTTCCCGGCTCTTGCTTGAATATGCGAATGTATTAGATAAACCGGTTGCACTGTACAAGAAAAACTTATTAAATATTAAATTAAAGAGAAAACTTAACTGAACTGAAGGCCATGATGAAAAAACAAAGAGGTTCAAAACCCAAAAGTGCTTCGAAAAGTAATTTTCCAGTGGCAGAACTTATCAGTGAATCGTGACATCACTCCAGGACATGATTGGTGATGAATTATTGAAAAACTTAATTGAAAACTATTGAAAAAGTATCAGAAGAAAATATGTTACCCTAATATTTGCGAAGTTTTCTCAGCAGCAGTCAATTGTCCTCACTTTCCACGAAACATAACGTGTTTTAGAAATAAAAGATTTGTTATGGAAAAGATAATCCAGTCATAACATCACTGCATATTTGTCATGTGAAAAGGGTATCAACAGAACTAAAATATATCAACCCCTTGGGTACATAGTACTTTATTTTAAATTGAATATAACTAGTTTTCAGGGTTTCCGATTGGACAGGATCCAAACAGAGATAAAGAAGTAAATTACAAGTGCAAGATAATGAGGATCGGTTTGTTCAACAGTGTGGTTCTGGGAGATGAGAGGTGGGTTTATGGGTGTCTCATAATTTCAGAAAATTATTGTTCAAAAGTGAGATATTGGACCAATGAATTTGCAGACTGAAACTTGTAATGACTTTTCTGTATAGGCAAGATAAGACTGATTGCAGAGGCTGACCAATCTATATTTTTCCTTTCTGTGGACTGCCGATAGATATCCAAATTGTCTCTAATTTTCTTTAGGGGAGGCTCTGAGGAGAGTTCCAGAAATGAACTTAACAAACCCTAAAACATGAGAGTATTTTCTATTCAAATAGATATATTCATCCATCAATTTTCTGTACGTTTTCCAATCCAGCTTTCATAGTTAACCTTAAACAGATCAACCCAGAGTTAAACAAGCCAAACAACCAGCTCACACTTTCCTTAACCCTTTAAAGCCTGATCCAAGAATAAAACAAATCAGAAAATTACTTTTTTTTTGTTTGAAGTCTTTATCTGTCCTTTTAACAAAATATGTAAAAAGAAAAAACAGAAATACATTTTTAATATTAATAATTTATTACTATGCGATAAGTCAAGGTTATTCTTTGTGTAGTCTTCTGCTCCCTGTTATCAGGCATATCTGATTGTGTAAATTAGGATTTTGAGCAAAGTTTTTACCATTAAATTATGCAAAAGGTGTCAGACGCAAAACATTTCAGAAACCGTATGTATCAAATATGATACATTTGGCATTATGGGGTTAAGAAAAAACAATTTACCCAACCATGCTTGGTTTTAGGAGATGAGACATGGTGCACTTTGACTGAGAAAACATGCAAACTTCCAACAGAAAATGGATTTTGAAGTAGGAACCTTCTTGCTGTGGTTGAGCAACACCATACACACCGTACACACCATAACACGAATCTAAGCAAATATAAAACTTTTTTTAATTGCTTACTTTAAAAAATATATAAACTAAATGATAACTCTGTATGAAGTCATGGGCGGTCAAAAACAATACAAAGGGAATGGTAATAGAGCATCATTTTCTTGGTTTCAAGAGTTGAGATGTGAGTTCTATTTCTGGTTTGGGTTCTATATCTTCCTGTGTTTAATTTTGTATTCGTTTTCTTCTTTTCCTGTGTCCACCACCTTCATTCATGCCGCTCACTTCAATTCCCTGCACCTGTGCTTTCCATCTCCCCAGTGCTGCATTCACTGTTCATCTCTTGCGGATAAATTTACTTGTCAGCTCTTTCTACTATTGCGTTCACGTACAACTATGAGAGGCAAAACTATTTTTAAAATCTCCAGGAAATCACATTGTAGGAGTTTTGAAGAGTTCATTTGTAATTTTTATAATAGCAAAAGTCAAAAGTTCGACTTTTGATATTGAACAAATACTTCGTACCGTAAACTTTGTGGGCAATGACCGAGGCAAGAGGTTTCCTCTAATTCTTCACCAGGTTGGCATACACTATGGCTTGTATTTTTGGCCCATTCCTCTAAGTGTGGTTGTTTGTCTATGCGGTGGATTGGCGACCTGTCCAGGGTTCACCCTGCCTCTTGCCCATTGTCAGCTGGGATAGGCTCAAACTTCCCTAAGACCCTTGCGTTATAGAAATGGATGGATGGAAACATCAACTTTATCATTTGAAAATTAATCAACTTCCTTAAATGAGTATACAATAGCTATAATGGAATAGTTACGGTTGGACATTTATTAGAAAATCTTTTGCTTGAATTTCTAAATTGCATTCCAAAATTGAGTTGAATGAAAATAGATTAATATACTGACATATACGTTCTCCCCGTATCAGAGTGGGTTTCCTCCAGGTATTCTGGCTTCGTTCTACCGTCCAAAAACATGCATTTTAGGTTAATTTAACACTATAAATTGACTCTGTAGTAATTGTGGTGAGTGTGGATTTTTGTCAATGTGTGGCCCTGTGATGGACTGCGGTGCTCCAGCCCCCAATCACCCTACTAAAAATACGTGGTATACACAGTCCTAAATATTACACCTTAAGCAGCCATCTTAGCTACTGGGTTCAGATCAGACAGTTTCCCTGTACGTGGAAACGTTTCCCCATATTCGCCGTGGATTTTGAGCCACTGGCAGAAGCGATTAGGAGAGCGTCAAATATACAGGACTTTCAGGTGGACATCATGAAATAAGTCTTTATGCAGATGATGTTTTAATTTCAGATCCAGGGACCTCAATACGTGCATTACTTAATTTCATTGATTTATTAAGTACATTTTCTGGATACAAAATCAGAGGCCTTACGGCTAGAGAGTATCAATTTAATACCTAAACATTGCCCCTCTTTCCCTTTAAGTGGACTCCGAGAGGCTTTATTTATTTAGATGTACACGTAACCTCCTCATCTTAGTAAATGTAAGCAAATATCAGCTTTGCTCCCTTGTTTGAGAAAGTGAGGCAAGATTAGACCGTTGGAATTTTCTGTCGATATCCTAGCTAGAACGTATAGTTTTGATTAAGATTAACATATTGCACAGAGTACTTCCCGTTCAAATGTTTTCAAATAAGGTTTTGAAAAAACTAGTGTTGGTTAAGCTCTTTTATCTGGGTAAACACAAGCTACGGCTAAAAATTGCTACTTTGCAATTACCAAGGAGGGTTAAGATCTACCTGATTTGTGAAAGTACCAGCTGTGTGCTGATTTATGATTGGATCTCGAATCGATACAACCTCTGTCTGGCTAGGTATTGATTTGTCCCTTTCAAAATATCCATTAAGAGACATGCTGTTTATTAAGAATTTTAAAACTATAAAACTGTCCTGTGGTAATCCTGTCACACTCAATACAAAGCCAACATAAACTTTTAATCCTATTTTGAATAATCTTGGTTTTTCAGCCAGCAATACTTGATACTGGCTTTAGACACTGGTGTAATTCTGGTATTATTAAGTTAAAAGATTTATTTACTGACAATACATTAATGTAATTTGAACAGATAATTGAGAAATAAAAAAATCTCCAGGCATGACTTATTTTACGTTATTAACAGATAAGACATTATATAGTACATATCACAGCCTTAATTGATAACCTTAATGTCACGTCTGGGGGAATTATGCTGTTTTGTCCCTTCTTCATGGTTTTCATGTCATTTCCTGTTTTATTTTGTAAGGTACATCCTTTTGTGTCAGGTCTCTTGCACTCCCCTGTGTGTCACATGTCTGCTTGTCTTCCCAGATCACCGATTGTGTTCACCTGGGGTTCCCTTCCTTTGTGGTTAAATAGTCTGAGTCTCTCCTTATCTTGTGCCAGTGTGCACTGTCAGGAATGGAACTCGAGGCAGGACTTAGGCGCATAGATCTTTGGCAAAAAAAAAATGAATTGAAACAAAAGCGCACTCACTGGGAGTGGAAAGGCAAAGTACAAAATAATAATCTCTCTTGAAAACGAGGCAGACAAAGCTATGAACAAAGTATCAAATAATAATCTCTCAAAAGATGCAGACAAGGCTGTGAACAAAGTATCAAATACTGTAATCTAGCTCTAAACAGAGGATGGCAAATGTTACAAAGTATGAAATCAAAATCGCACTTATGAGGCATAAACAAGACTGTGGACAAAGTACAAAATTAAACTCACTCCAAACTGAGGCATAAACGGGGTTGAAGGCGAAAGACGGGTTGTTCAGTGTGACAAGGATGAAGGATCTCTATTTGTCTACTTTATGGAGCTATGTGTTATGTTTCAGTTATGGCTGACTTTCAGAGAAAAGTGGGAGAAAGAACAGCTTGTCACAATTAATGCTGTTGAATGGGAAAATATATGAAGCTATGCAGAATCAATCTGTTAGTAATTGTGTTAAATCAGTACAGGTTACGATTTTGCATAGAATCAGTATATCCCCTAATCGCAGATATAAGTTCAACCCTAGTTGGTCTCCAAAGTGTCTTAAACAAAAATTGGCACTTAAAGTCATTGTCTTTTGTCATGTCATAGACTGCAGAAATATTGGTCTAGGTAGTATCTTCACAGAAATTGAAAAGATACTGGAACTGAAGCTGTGGATGGACGCATTGTCAGAACAGTCTTTGATTTTCTAGATATGGAAGATTAAAAAGATAAAGACTGTTCTGTATTCTTACATTTGCAGGTAGAAAGAAAATTTTGTTTCAGTGGATTAGCAATAAGGAATGATATGTTAATGATGGCTTAATGTGCTATTTTAGGGCTTTTGGTATATTTGAATTGCGTAACACATTCAAACTCAAGCCAATTTTATAAAGTTTGTGAACCTTATCTGAATGACTTCAAATAAAATAGATCTTCCAATGTGTTACAGGGATTCCCTG